TTGAACTCAGAACGACAGCTGCTCTTTGTGGACCTTGAACAGGATCCTCTGAAGGTTGCTTCCTGCTGTATGCCCTTTTTTCCCCCTGTAATCTTTACCTTTAAACTTTTGACATGCTTATTTTATACTCTTTGGTTAATGCACTTCTTTCTTTTCTGCTACAGATGATAACAGAAGCAGAAAAAAGCCCACTGGTGATGCAGCTTATATCAATTCAGAAGTTGTTCTCTTTGTCATTTCCTCTTGGTGAAAGGAAAGATGATGCATCATCATCTTGCAGTATAGATAACATGGTTGATGCTAAACCGCCCAGAAATGAACTTGTCCCTTCTCAGTCATCTGACTTTATTGATCTTAGTAGCTGCATGCAAAACACTCAGGTCACTCTGCCAACATTAAATGGGTAACAACCTAAGCTCACGTTTGAATGCAACTTTACTACACCTGGGGTGCAATATTGTGCTGCTTCAGATTTCTATGTACGTTTGTGAAAAAATTCAGCATTACTTGAAAATGTGCATACTGACATGTTGTTAGAAACTGAATCAAAGTTGAAGCTGACTAAATCCAGAAGTAATTGTGACACAATTTCATAACCTTTTAAGGAAGGAATTCTGTTAGAAGTGGCATGTAAACCCCATTCAAATAATACTTAGTTTCCAATATTTAAGATTACTTCTACGGTTGCCAAGCTTTTTTTCCATGGCTGCATTGCATTGTTTTATAATTACCGATGCGTAATTGTTAAAATTTTTAAATCAAGAGTATCTGCCTTCGCCTACATAGTATGAATTTCTATTACCATTTTTCATTTCTCTTCTATCCAGAATGTTTGGATTAGCATTTCAGTCTGATACACTAAAAATAGCTGTTTAACTGCTTCAGATGGCTTCTTGGTTATCCAGTTGTGTACATGTTCATCAAGGAGCACGGCGTTAAGGCTGTTCGTAATATTTCTAGCAAGTATCTTCACATCTATAGAATATCAGTATGCAGGTTAGTTTTTCAGATTCTTGTTTTATGATATGTTGAATAATTACCATAGGATTTGAATCATGATACCTACTGTCTTACTAGGATATTCAATGTCCTTCTTGGGCCACATATAAATATTTTTGTTCTTTTAAAAGTACTAACATGCCATCCTACAAGGAGTAATGAGACGCAATGTCTAGGATTGCAAGAAGTCCAATAACCAATAAAAGTAAATTTGTGTTTGTAGTACGTTTGCTTGTTCCAGTGAACTTCAGCTTAAGAAACTAGTGTGAATACCAATCTCACATTGTGTTCTAAGATGTATGGAAAACTATGAAATAGTTCTCAATTTTGAGCAATTAATTTACTTAACAGTACGAACCAAATGTCAGTCTTCTTACAAATACATTGCTTAAATTAAAGTAGTGTATGTGTGGTACATTGGAACTCATTGAGACTTATACATGTAGCTTGTTGACGTAAAAGTTTGTAATTCTTGCAGGAACGGAACCCCCAATAAAGAATCTGAACTCGAAGAACTCTTGAGGTAACACTCCATTAAATTTTTACTTAGTGTTATTCTTAATGGATATCTGGTGCGAGTAGAAAAGAATAATGCATAAGACAGAAAAGCCTGCTTTTAAGTGCATGAACTATGGATTATATTAATATAAAAAAATCCATTAGGGAACGAGTACACCAGTACAGAATATGAGGGAGATGTTATGTGGTGCATGCATCTCTGCTACTAACTGAGGTGACTTTTGTGTTATTTTGAACCCCACCCCATATTCCTAAGTAGTCCTTCGATTCGGGCTTAGGGATTCCATGCTGTTGTGCTTAGGACTCTGTTTTTTTAGGAAGGATGACTTATTGCCTTGTACAGTGAAATACTAGGATAAATTTTCAATGGATTTCTTTCAACATTGCTGGAGTTTATAAATTTAGACTTTAGGAAGGTTTTTGAGGAGTTATTTAGGAAGGGTGTCCTAATGGGAGTTATTAGACTTTATATTGAAGAAGTTGGATTCATTGAAGAGTAGTAATTTT